GCAATCCTACAGTGTTTGTCCATGGGACAAAAGAAAGTCGACCACATCCATTCATTTAAGTTTCATTACATGCATGGTCTTAGCACTTTGATCTTTGAGAAAGCAATAAGGACAAAAGAGTACACAATTAAAGTTGTCCATGTGACTTTGCTATACTCCAAGTCTTCTGAAGCCATGCAATAACTTTGTGTGATAGCTTTGTGCACTGATAATCTTTCCTCCAGTAAGCCGTTAGTTGGTGAGTTGGATCAATCTAATTTGGGAACGAATCATTCTTTTGTGCCATTTCTTTCCAATGAACCACTCAGACAAACTGATCTACTGGTAGTTCTCAGGATCCAATTACAAACTAAAAGAAATGGCAACAGCAGTTTTAAATTGCTTTTCAAGAAGATATATTCATATTTCATTTGTCAAACATTGACTGAATATATACCTGCATTGATTGTCCTATAAACAGTGGTAACTTGCAATTTGATCTTAGAGAGATATTTCTACCAAATATATCACATAAAAATGTGTTTTGTTGGCATAAATCAATGTATTTATGTAAACTGTAAGTTTCAATTTGTTAACTTTACTTGAAATAATTTTGCTAAATTATTGCCTCAGAGAAAATGTAGCTAAGGTTACTTAGTATATTCAAGTTTTCATAAATTGGCTTGTGAGTAAACTTGAATTGAATAAAACCAGAAAATGTAGATGTTACAATTTTTTTCAATGATAAAGGGGACATCGGATGTCAAAAATTTTTTTGACTTTTTATTTTTAGCTTTTTTTTGCATTTAGTTAGGTTTCTGGCATGTCTGCCAGCTCAGAAAAGCTGAAAAGAAAACACGCAGCCAGTTTGTTATGGGGCTGAATCTGAAACTGTGTCATCCAGCGAGCTGTTTCAATATGCAGCTGGTTTCTATGTAGATAGCTAGCTATTTGAATAAGACCAACTCCGAGCCATATATGGAGTCCAAGGCTGCAATTCACATGTCTTGTGTCGATGCCCCTCAGAAGAGATGGGTGGGGTTAGCAGTAGCTCATTATCATTTAAAGAGACATGCACCGAAACAGGTCGCTGTGAACAGAGCTGTTTTTGACAAGGTAAAAAGGGGGTTGTTTTACACGACCATTGAGGAATTTTAACCAAAGTGTGTTACAGACATTTCATGAAGACCCTAAAGACTCGTACCAACTTGTGGAAAATGGGCATCCGACGTCCCCTTTAAGAATCTCTTGTTAAATGGGGCTCTGCTTGAAGTCTTGTAAGTTTGAATCTATATCAGCTCTCCCTTCTTCTCTCTCTGCGTTCTCCTCCGCTGTCTGTTTGTGAGCTCGCTGTTCCTCTGAACTGTTTGCTGATGCAGTAAGTCTGCATGGAGCTGGCAGCTTCCTCTACTGAATTATTCATTAGGGAGAAATCTGCCGAGCCCCTCCCCCATCATCTTATTATAAACCTTTTGCATCTTCATCAACTCTTTCACTAGTATTCACTCTGCAGTGGTAAATTGCTGTTCACATGTGCTTGGCCCTACCCTCTATCTATCTATCTATCTATCTATCTATCACATTGTTGATTTATTATAATGCATTTACAGAAAGCATTAGAAGACATTTCTGAAGACCTGAAATGCAATGCAAAGTCGTATATGGACCACTTTTAATTATGCTTTTTTGCATCATATTTGAAGCTTCCAAGCTTTAGTCTTCAACCATTTTAACTACTAGTAAAAGCAAGACCAGGACAATTATTTAAAAGGTCTCATTTTGTCTCCAACAACCGAACAAAAGTCATATAGAGTAAATAATGGCAGAATGCGCTTTTTTTGGTGAAATAACCCTGAAGAACTGGAGTGATCGCAGCAGTTCTTAATTCCAGTAAAATAGTGATGTAGGTAAGGTTTTGATTGATCAAATAGTTGATCCTGATTAATTAGAGATTTGTAGTATGTACCATCACACCACCAAAATGCATGGTGCATAGTGACGTCCGGTTCATGAATGAATCATTCTTCTGAACTGGTTCTTTTTAGTGAATCAGATGAATCAGTTCACCAAATCGGACTGAAGCGTCTGAAACAGTTCGCGGCTCAAGCAGCACAGTAACTCTACAAGTTACTCAATTAAAACTCACTTTCAGACACCCGACAAGTCACTGCGACTGGAAATTAGCCGAAATACCGGCATATATGATCCTGTGATGAATGAACTCATTCAGCGCTCCAGTTCCTCCAACAGACACTGAACTGAGGAAACAGTTCGACTCGGACTGAAAACTGATGAGCCGCTGATATGCACATGCGTGAACCGAGCACTTGAATGAAGGGGCCAAATGAATGTTTTTATGGTTTCTCATGGTTTATGTAAAAAGGTGAGCTGATGAAGGCTAGTTTATTCACTTTATTTGCTGTAGACATGCAAAACATCCATGTTGCACATCATAATTAGGTGCTTTAATGATACAATTGTGTATATGTGATGCCATTGTGTGATTACATAAATGAATCACTGGTGATGTGAATCATTGAAACGAACTGTGAATCAGAGTTCCCATATCCACACAGCAGGCGATTAGAGAATTTGGAGAAATTATTTATGAAGTCTATGTTACAGTGTTAGTGGTATAGTTCAAAAGAGTCAGAGGGCTATTGGTATTGTTCTCAGCAGAACAGGTGTTGCTGACTCTGTTTCTCTTTCCCTAAATAGCTCACATGTTAGTCATTGTCCCTGTCTGGAGTCTAGACACTAAAATACTTTTGTTTTGCTTTTCTTGTCTCTTTACAAAAAGTGCTGATTTGGAGTGGTTCAGGTTTAGCTTTTTGTAGAACAGCAGGTACGTTTGTATGAATGAAAAGGAAAGGATAATACATTAGCTCATAACAATCATTAGCTCTGTGGTTTGTGCTTGCCTTTCATCAGGAAAGGGAACATTAAAATGGAAAAAAATTTTTTTTTAAATAAAAATCAACAGAAAAGAAAAAAAGCAACCTGTATCCTATGATGTAATGCATAGCACTTGACTGAACTTGAGCAATATTATTTATCTAGACGGTAACCAAATCACTGAATTAAACATAAAAAAAAAGTGTTTCAGAATTCGGAGAAACTCATTTTTCAGTGTTTTTAATTAAGTGTTTTCTTCTCTCCCAGCAGAGACAACTATACGTAAGACATTTGTTGAATTGAACACTCTTTGAACAGTCCGACATGTCAACTTCTGGCTCGACTAATGGTGTGAATTTGGGGTTATCGGCATTTTGAGATACTTCAACCTGGAGTTATTGCAGACTTCATAGCTTCCATGTTAACATCTGTGCTACAAATGACGATTACTTTATTTAGAGCTGTTGAAGTAATTAAATATAGAAAATGCTCCTACTCTCTCCTACTTTTTGTACCCTACAGATAATATTTGCATGAGAAGCTGCCACCGTCTTTTATTGCAGCACATCAACTCTCCCTTCCTCACGTTCTGTTCTCTCGTTGACTGCGACTGTGCTTTGCTACAGTCTGCAGCATAAGAGAATTTGGATTTTTCGAGTGACTTTCTGTTGAGAAACGTATTGTGTGTGAATGTGTTGCATTCCTAAACTTAACATCTACCTTACTAACTGTTAATAAGCAGCAAATTACACTCTAAAAAAAATGCTGGGTTAAAAAGGGACAAACCCAGCTATTGGGTTGTTTTGACCCAGCGTTTGGTTTGTTTTGACCCAGCGTTTGGGTTATTTTGACCCAACGTTTGGGTTGTTTTTACCCAGTATTTGGGTTGTTTTGACCCAGCGTTTGGGTTGTTTTGACCCAGCGTTTTGGTTGTTTTGACCCAGCATTTAGGTTGTTTTGACCCAGCGTTTGGGTTGTTTTGACCCAGCGGTTGGGTTCAAAACAACCCAACCGCTGGGTCAAAACAACCCAATAGCTGGGTTTGTCCCTTTTTAACCCAGCGCTGGGTTATATTTAACCCAACATTTTTTAGAGTGTAGGAGTTTATTGAGGCGACACTCTAAAAAAAAATGCTGGGTTAAATATAACCCAGCTATTGGGTTGTTGTGACCCAGCAGTTGGGTCATTTTTTAGAGTTTAAAGTTGTAGTTAATAGTTAATAGTGATAACTGGTCCACAAACTAAAGTGTGACCACATTTATATTACATTTTTACAGCTTTATATCGATGTATTTTTGATCCATTACCTAAACAAAACCACTTCTCAACAATATAAAAACCAAAAAATGTCATTTTTTTTAGTCAATGCATGTTCAGAAAACTGCTGTGTCCCACAGCAAACAAAATAAATATATTACAAAGGCAAAGGCTGAACGATTTATTAATTTATTCATATTCGATTCACTTTAAGATTTTAAGATTGAGGAAAATGACGTGATCCTTTGATTTGAGCCAATAATAAATGTGATTGTTCACAAATACAATAGAATCTAAGTCTAATAATTAATGGAATAACTAAGGATTAAATAAGGCTTCGTAATTTTGTACATCTGTAAAGTTGTTTATATGTAAAATATTTACCTTTTAGATGCTGTCAGTATTGTACATTTGCGTAATATCTGTTAGATTTCAAAGCAAAAATCTTTATAATCCTATCAAGCTTGCAAGACTATTATAGCGGATTCTCAGAGAATTTATTCCTTTTAAGACATTTTTGTGGTAAAAATAAATGATCCAAGACCAACCCGAGAATCTGAAATGTGCTCTAAGCTATCAATTTCCCCGCGGGTTTGTTTTTGTCTCTTTGTTCTTCTGCACTTTCCTCTCATTCTGCTTCTCTTTTTCATGTTTGTCTGCCTTCTCTCGTCATGTGAACTGACTAATTCAAGCGTAGGCTCTTTTCATTCATGTGAAGCAATAGATGGGACTCTTTTCTCTTCCAGCTCTCTCTCTCTCTCTTTCTCTCTCTCTCTATCTGTCGCTCTCTCTGTCTCTCGTTCTCTCCCTTTACCTCAAGAGTGTGAAGATTTAATGGCTTCTTGTGTTTATGTCGTGTGTCCTTTTAGGCCCACGTCGTTCATCGCTGGCTAATCGATCAGGACAATAGTGTGAGCTCTGAGCTGCCGGATGGCCAGGGAGTGTGGCACTATGATGAAACAGTAAATATCTGCAACATATATCTAAATTTTTATTCTCATATGTATCTATATACATATACATATTGTATATGGACATTATCTGTCACTAGATATGCTTCTGTCATTGTTGTTAGTGTTTTTGGTGTATAGTGGTTCTAATTTCATCCACATTCTTTTCTTGTGAATTTGATTTTGGCACCATAAAGTTTTTATGTATAACATTCCGTTTAACTAAACTGTGGTTTTATTTGAGAGTTTCGTATTACTGTTTGGTGTTGGGCTGGCTTTTTTTTAAGTAGCGGTAGATGTGGTAGTGGTCCGGGCTGGACAAGTTTTTGTTGTTGTTGTTGGTTTCTTTGTTTTTTATTTGTTTCACCTGATCGTTTTATGAGATTTTTTTGGTTGCGTTCAGATTTTGAGTTCCGTTTTTGTGATGTGTGGATTATTTTTGCGTTCATCAGTGTACTCACAGTATAAAAGAGTCCACGGGCAAAAACAAAAAACTAAAATAATATTACCAACACATCACTTTAACATAACATAAACTGCTTACACAGTATGGGTAGGATATAATAAGGCTGAAGTCAAACTAACCTATTTTACCTGTGGGTTCTTAAGTGTACTTTTCACATGTTTTGATGTGTTACTCACAAACACTCGTTTGTATCCAGACACCTCTGCATGCACTGACGTGTGTTGATGTTTATACACTATCCACATCTGTCCATGTTGTGCCGTGAGAGCTGAATCTGAGTGGTGAGTGAGGTTCAGTTTTTTTTCATCTGTGTTTCTGTGTTTGTGCTGAACGTGTTTTTGTGTTGTGATAGTGCTCATTTCATAGTGTGTGTGTGTGGGTATTGTGTTGTGGATTTGATGTTTAGTGTAGTGTTAGTGTTTCTGTTTAAAGAATGCTTTTTTGACTATCTGTGACTCAGGTAAGTCAGATTTCCAAGTCATCTTCTTATAATAATTCTAAACCATGGTGGGTTTTTTGTTTGCATTTTTTTTTCTACACCTCAGGTCAAATTAATTTCACGTCAAAGTAAACTCCAGTTAAATACAGCAATTGTACACTTTGCCTCTTATGGAGCTCCTAATCGGACAAGGTGCTTTTGTGACTGAACGTGGTATCAACACAAATGTTGCAAGCAAAGTCAAAAGCATCAAAATATGATTTTTCCTCCCATCTTAATATATATTTTTTTTTACATCACCTTGTCCCCTCAAGGGCTCCATAGCCTCTAAATGCAGTGTTGGAAATACTATTAGAATTAGAATTAGTAATAGAAATTATAAGTTCTACACACATTTATATGACTATATTCAAGTATTCTGACTGATTCTGACAGGAAATGTGAATAATGTGTAGTAAAAGTAGACTAGGGTGTATATAAATGAATTATATTAATTAATTAATTTTATTTTATATATATATTTATTTATTTTATTATTATTCTTGTTTTGTAAAGTGGCTGCAGGCTGACACTTTATTATAATGTCAATTTATAACAGACTTCCAAAAGTGTATTGAGGTATATTCGTTTTACCTCTCATTTTTCCTAGCTTAGAAGACAACTTGCCACAAAGTGGCACATCTTACCCCACTCTCCTCTATATTAAAATCCCTAAATTATCTATCCAAACAAGCACAGTATGCAAAACAATATGACACGTTTTCAGAGGCTGGAAGATGTCTACACTGGAAGTGAGCGAAACGATAGAAATAAGCCAGTCCCATTATTATCAACAAAGGTGTTCACACTGCAAGTGACTTGATGTGATGCACCTGAGTAGTTGACATATAATATGTCTTTGGACTTTTTTTCTAAATCAACATCAAGACTATTGAATTAAATTCTGAACGTATGATGGGAAGTGTATATCTTCCTTATTTTGAGTTTTTTTCTACAATTCACATTTGACATGGAATTTTTAGAAGTTCAAATATTCCATGCAGTCTGTCAGTAAATATAATATTATAGAAGCTGCATATATAAAATATAAAATGAATAGGAATATACAGTTTAAAACGTTTTTAAGGAAATGGTTTTACGTTTCCGCCACGTGCAAGGTGATTGCGACTTTTGTTACAACTTTTTTTCTCGCAATTGAAAAGTCAGAATTGAGAAAAATGTCAGAATTGCGAGTTTATATCTCACAATTCTGACTTTATATGTTGTAATTCTGAAAAAAAAGTCAGATTTGTGAGAAAAAAAGTCAGGATTTTGAGATATAAACTCGCAATTCTGACATTTTTGTACCGCTGAACATTCAGCAGAACATACCACGCAGTCTTCTACCGGTTTTCAATTATTCGGACGCTTTGCTGAACATTGTAGTTGGCGGAGCAGCAGCGTTGTTAAAGTGCTTTAAGACACGCATGCATGGGAGGCGAGCCGGCGCACTCGTCAAGCTCCGACAGCACGATTCTCCGCTCTCTACCCAACGAAATGGACAAACTTCTCCTGCTCTCCCGAATAAATATAGACATTTTAAACTCTGCTGCTCTGTTTCACGGAAACTAGTGTTGAAGAAAATGTGCTGTCCCGATCTAGAAGCGCTCTTCATCAACTGTAAGCCGTTCTACTCGCTGCGGGAGTTTTCCTCGTTCATTCTCGTAAGTGTTTACATTCCTCCGCAAGCGTGCGTGAGCGCGGTTCTACAACAGCTGGCTGATCAAATCACAGACATAGAGCAACAACACCCGGACTCTGTTATAATCATTCTAGGGGACTTTAATAAAGCAAACCTCACACGTGAACTGCCAAAATACAGACAACACATTACATGCCCCACCAGAGACAAAAACATTTTGGACCCCGGTTACACCACATTAAATTATGCATATCGCTCCGTACCCAGAGCAGCTTTAGGACTCTCTGACCACTGCCTGGTTCATCTTCTCCCAACATACAGGCAAAAACTTAAATCTGCTAAGCCTGTAGTAAGGACTGTAAAGAGATGGACCAATGAAACAGAGCAGGATTTACAAGCTGGTTTCGACTGCACTGATTGGAGTGTTTTTGAAGCTGCTGCCACTGCTCTAGATGAGCTCACAGATTCTGTAACATTGTATATCGGTTTCTGTGAGGATATGTGCATTCCTACCAGGACTCATTTAACATACAACAATGATAAGCCATGGTTCACAGCAAAACTCAGACAGCTATGTCAGGCCAAAGAGGATGCCTACAGGAGTGGGGACAGAATCTTGTACAATCAGGCCAGGAACATGCTGACAAAGGAGATCAGAATGGCTAAGAGGAGCTTCTCTAAAAAGCTGGAAAACCAGTTTTCAGCCAACAACCCTGCTTCAGTGTGGAAAGGCCTGAAAGACATTACAAACTACAAGACACCATCCCCCAGCACTGAGTCGAATCAAAATCTTGCTGAAGAGTTTTACTGTAGATTTGAAACTCCCAGTCTCACACCCCACACCCTTTTTGACCATCTTTCTACACAAATATTAACACCTCCAGCATCCCCCCTCTCCCCCCTCCTGCACTTCAGATCAGTGAAGATTATGTGCGCCAGGTCTTCAGGAAGCAGAAGAGCAGAAAAGCACCAGGCCCAGACTGTTTTTCACCAGCCTGTCTAATAACCTGTGCTGACCAGCTGGCCCACATCGTTTTACAGATCTTCAACAGATCACTGGAGCTGTGCAAAGTCCCTGCCTGCTTCAAACACTCCACCATCATCCCCATCCCAAAGAAACCCAAAATCACAGGACTTAATGATTACAGACCTGTTGCTTTAACATCTGTGGTCATTAAGTCATTTGAGAGACTGGTGTTGGCTTATCTGAAGGACATCACTGGACCCTTACTGGACCCCCTGCAGTTTGCTTACCGAGCAAACAGGTCAGTGGATGATGCGGTCAACATGGGACTGCACTACATCCTGCAGCATCTAGACAAATCTGGGATTTATGTGAGGATTCTCTTTGTGGACTTCATTTCGGCCTTCGACACCATCATCCCAACACTCCTCCAGACCAAACTAACCCAGCTCTCTGTTCCCAGCTCTATCTGTCAATGGATCACCAGCTTTCCACAGACTGAGGAAATTCATATCAAACAGCGGCACCATCAGCACTGGCGCTCCTCAGGGATGTGTGCTCTCCCCACTGCTCTTCTCCCTGTACACCAACGACTGCACCTCTACTGACCCCTCTGTCAAGCTCCTGAAGTTTGCAGGCGACACCATAGTCATCGGCCTCATCCAAGACGGTGACGAGTCTGCTTACAGACAAGAGGTTGAGCAGCTGGCTGTCTGGTGCAGTCACAACAACCTGGAGCTGAACACGCTCAAAACAGTGGAGATGATCGTGGACTTCAGGAGAAACCCCCCTGCTCTCCCCCCACTCACCATCATGAACAGCACTGTGGAAGAAGTGGAGTCATTCAGGTTCCTGGGCACCACCATCTCTCAGGACCTGAAGTGGGACAATCACATTGACTCCATTGTTAAATAGGCCAAACAAAGGTTGTACTTCCTTTGCCAGCTGAGGAAGTTCAACCTGCCCCAGGAGCTGCTCACACAGTTCTACTTATCCGTCACTCAGTCTGTCCTGTGTACATCAATAACTTTCTGGTTTGGCTCAGCTACAAAATCAGATATCAGAAGACTACAGAGGACGGTTCGGACTGCTAAAAGGATTATTGGTGCTCCCCTGCTCACCCTTCAAGGACTGTATGTAATCCAGAGTGAGGAAAAGGGCTCAGAAAATCACTCTGGATCCCTCTCATCCAAGCCATCTCCTTGAACTTTTGCCGTCTGGCCGGCACTACAGAGCACCGAACACCAGGACAGCCAGGCACACAAAAAAAGGGAAAAAAATGTCTCTTTCCCCAGGCAATCTACCTCATGAACAGTTAAATATATATATTTATTTATTATCTGTGTGCTGTTGTTGTCTCTGTGTACTGGAAGCTTCTGTCACCAAAACAAACTCTGTGTATGTGCAAACATACTTGGCAATAAAGCTCTTTCTGAATTCTGACTTTTGGATATTTAGCATA